CTAAAATTAATATTCAAAATTTTATTAAAAAATTTAAATATTAAAAAAATTAGTAAAAATTTTCGCAGGCAAATTTGTCTGCATTACAATTTAAGGGATACAAATGGACATTTAAAGAAAGACTTATAGCTCTCTACAATTACCAAACTTAAGAATACGCTTTTCAAACTAGCAGCAAGAAATCTTTCTTTCAAGAGTAGAATTTTAATTGCAAAGTCTCTAATACTTTTCCACATTTGGTATACAGCCTATATTCTCTCTCCAAGAAAAAAACAAATATCAAAGACAAATGATCTAATGATCTTTTGGATCAAGGGCAATTCCAAGATACTTCCAAAATATGCAACTTATCAGCTCTCTTATGAAAAAGGTGGCCTTCAAACCCCAATAGTTGGGAATATGCTAGAAGCCAGAATGATCACAACATAGCTAAAGCTAATAACAGGAGATACTTTATAGGTAAAGATAGAAAAATCAAGGATAATACAATCCTTAAATGATAAAAGAAATACTACAATATTACAAGTCTTCACCGATAATTCAGTAAAATCCAAAGCTTGCCTTTGGAATAGAAACCTTTTGTACTAGCCTAGAATAAAGCAGAGGGTTCAGTCTTCTCCCTTTCACCATGGCCTTGGTCTAGGGAGAATATATATATGAAAGAGAAAAGAAGTAGCAATTACTGGACTAAAGATATAGTAAACCTTTTGAGAGATTCGTCTGATACAGTCTCTCCAACTTTTATACTTAAAGAAAATACTCCAATAGACTAGATTACCTGTAGAGATATCAATAATAATAAAAAGAGAGATATTATATAGAGACTTGTCTATAGGGCCTTGCCACTGGAATACAGGCTTCAACAAATATCTCAATTGGAGTCAGAAGCCTGCTCTTGGTGTGAGGATAGTATCCAGACCCCAGAACATTTTGCTATAGAATGTAGAATAAGTAAGTCAATCTAAATAGAAGTCTACAAGTTTTTGAAAACACAAAACAACTCTACAATACCAAATTCTATAGAGGACATATATATGAAAAAAAATATTTCTCAAAAAAGATTCCATACAACAGTTCAGTAGCTGAATATAATGGCAGTCTATGAAATTTGATACTGGTATACTAATGCCAAATAGGAGGACAATGTTAGATCAGAAATTTCCATCTCAGCAATTATTAGTAGTAGGGTCTCAAGAAAAATCAAGGCTTTAAACCTTAATTCCTCTATTAGCTAAACAAATGGAAAAATATGTAAATATCTAATATATAAATAGAAAATTATTTATTAATATATTACAATAAAAAAACATCACTAGTATTTCGGTCACTTTTGTTAGGCTGAAAAATTAAAAAAAAAATCCAAATATTATATTTTTCTTTTTAACGATCACTTATACTAAAATTTCCTGTCAAAGAAAAATATAACTTTTGTTAGAGAGTCATGGTCTATGAAGCAGTTTGTTTAGAGATTAATGTTTTTTTTTCACAGAATTTCTCTAAAAACATTTAGCATGCAAACCAAAAGTATTATTATACAAGATAACTAGCAGGTGGTGCTCTTGTATAAAAAAATCTTGGTAAAGGGACAAAGTCTTTTTCATTGACAAAGCTTACTAGGCTGTTAACAAAAACATAGAAGAAACAACAACAGTTGTATACTTTAACACACTTCTTTGAAATTTTGAAAATACCTGACTTTGAAAACCTCTTTCCATATTCCTGCTGGGTTTTTTGGTATTTTTCTCAAAATTTTTTCCAAAATATGCATACCTTTTATGAAAAATCAACATTATTTATATAGCCAAATTGGAAATGGTGAGTTATAAGAAAGTCATGCCACTACATGTGACTAACAATAATGATATATAATATAATAGATTGTAGAATAAACAAAAAAAATTTGTATTTTTCACACTATTAAACTATTTTAATACGGTGATAAAGTGAAGGTAAAGATTGTTTTATGGAGTACTAAATAATTTTTAAGTTGGGCATAGGGGAACTTGTACTCATTCATAGTTTTGCTTTTTTCTTTTATCCCTTCTTTTTTTGTATCTTTTTTTTTACTTTCTTTTTTGTTTGTATTTGGTTATTCATTTAGGTTTTGTAGCTTTCTTACTTTTTTTTCTATCTTTTTTTTAGTTTAGTTTTTTTATACTTGTCATTCTTTAGGCAAGAATTATAGAATCCTCTTTCTTGGATATTAAGAAGAGGAGGGTCTTAAGGAAATTAGTGACTATGACATGCTATAAATGCTATTTATTGATATACTTATTTACTTCAAGTGCAGAAGTAGTAAGTAAGGAAATAAAATCTACTATAGCAGATCAAACATAGGTACATATCTGATGCAACTGGATTAGTTAAAATTTGTAACTTAGATGACTGGAACAATTGTTTTGGTAAAAATAGTAAACTAGAGTAATTTGTTTATTTTATATCTAATAAAGTTTTAGTATGGCTGCCGAATTGTTAAAAAAAAAAAAAAATTAGAAAATTCTAGTTATATACTTTATTTTTTAATATATATCTAAAACAGCTTTATAAATTAATTTTTTAACAACAAACGAATATATAATATCACTCTTTCTAATAATCACTTGAACCGAAATTCCTATTAATAAAAAAAACAAAAATTTTGTTGGAGAGTTGTAGCCTAACAGTGGTTTGTCTAGAGATCAACCTTCTGTCTATAGGAGACTCCTCTACAAAAGATGTTTGGTATGCAAGTCAAGAGTATTATTATACAAGATAACTAGCAAGGAGTGCCCTTGTATAAAAAATCTTGGTGGCAAGTAGGTTAGAATCAGCATTGTCAATAAAGCTTTTAGGTCATTACTTCGAAGAAAAACACTGGAGAAACAACAAATTATATGTTTGCTCTGAAGCCGCACTCTTTTTTTTGTTTCAAGTAGCTCCTCTATTACTTATTTTCGACTTCTTGTCTTTCTTCCAAAAATTTTGAAAAAAAGTGAGAATTTGGCTTATCCCTCCAAAAAATCAGCATTGTTTATATCTAAATTTGGATGGACTCAATATATTATAACCACATGTCTTGTTTACTTAGAAGATACAGCATTACTTCATGTGACTTGGATTGGGTCTTGAGTTAAAAAGATATCTGGATTTGGCTAGTAGTTGGAAGGTATACATTATGGTTTTGTTTTAGAATTGAGATATACAATAGTTGTAGTTGTTATAAAATTTTTATTGTAACTTGGCATGGGTTATAATAGTATATTTTCTTGTTTGTAGCAACTTTTCGGTTACTTGGCTGCTTATTGATAGAGGTAGCACCCACTTTGTTAGCCTTCTTGGCTTTTCTCTTTGTTTTTCTTTTTTTACATGTCTTTTTCTTCTTTTTTTCCTTTAAAACTTCTCTTTTGTTTATTTTGTTTTGTTATTAGATATAGTTTTCTTTTTGTTTCATAATTGATGATTTTGTAGTGTTAGTATAAAATCACTACTTTCTTTTGCTCTCAGTAAAGAAAGAAGAATTAAAGAGATTAGCTCTCCACAGGTTGACAAGGTCAATCCAACTTGTATACAAAATGGTGCGATAAGTCGCTCATAGACATGGTTTCCGCAGCCGGAAGATGTCAAGCTTGCAATTTTGGAGGCTTAGTTTAGTTGAAATGGTTTACTATTGTTGATTAAATAAATAAAGTTTTTGTATTCAAACTTTGACAAGACCGTTAAAGAGTTAAAAAAAATAAAAATAAAAATTTCTCAACAACTATCTTATTAAATTACCATATATTTCTGAAAATAAGCTACTTTTTTTGGGCAAAAGCTTATTTTTAGGTAAAATTTTAAAAAGTTGATTTTTAAAATCTAAAAGTACCAAGAAAAGAGGAATAGCTTATTTTTAGAGTAGCTTATTTTCAGGGATATATAGGAACTCAAATTTTTTTTTAAAGCTATAAAAATGATTAAATTTTAATATACTAAAGTTTTAAAATTTTTGAATTTTTATTGATTTTTAATTGAGAAGTTTAATATACTTTGCATCTTGCATTATGGTTATATATCACACCTCAATATGATTGGCTAATTTTTAGATCATTATTTTTAAAAAAAATAAACAAATTTTTATTAATTTTCTTTAGATTAAAACTAACTTAAAAAAAATTAAAATAATAGTTAAATTTTTTAGCACTTATATGCAAAATTTGATACTAAACAGATTTATTTGAAAGTAAAAAAGACATTAATATAATAAAATCTAGAGAAAACATAAAAACTAAACAAAAAAAAGTAAAAAAATACAAATAACTTTAAATTTTATTAAGATTTTTTATACTTGTAAGTTAACATTTTTCTTGATTTTTCTATAAGTTTTCTTTAATCTAAAAAAAATAATAAAAATTTGTTTTTTTTAAAATAATGATTTGCAAAATTAGCCAATTATAATATCACAGGATGTAAGATATATATTTATTCTTTAATTGAATTTAATTAATGAGTACCTATAGGCCGTACTAAATTTAGTATAAAATACTTAATTTAGTATAGTAAACCTATTAAATTTTTGAAAAATTGTTATTATTAACTTTAAATTAAATTTATATAAAATGTAATTCTATATCTATATTTGATTTTGGTATATTTAAAAATTTGATAACTTAATAAAAGTTATATTAATAAGTTTAAAAATTA